AGTCCCAGCTTTCTCAGGGGCATACTTTAAAAGGGGCTTTCATGAATATTTCACCCTCTCAGAAGCTCTGTGAAGGAGATTGGCGTGGTTATTATCTGCAGTTACAGATGAGGAAACTGAAACGGAGAGTCACTGCGTCCCCCAAGGCCATGTGCTTATTTGTGGCTAGAACAGAGGTCTCGCTTGTGCAAGTCGAAGTCTGGGCCCCCTCCTGCAGCCCGCATGGGGGCTGTGCTGGGTGTTAGGTGCTCATGGCCCCTCCCCACCAGCCCAGTTCCGGAAACAGAGCCCCAGATCTGAGATCCTTGGTGAACACTCCACAGGAGCTTTCGCTGTCACCCCTTCCTGCTCCCATCCGCCTGTGCCGTGGGGTATGGCTGTCACCCCTTCCTGCTCCCATCTGCCTGTGCCGTGGGGTATGGCTGTCACCCCTTCCTGCTCCCATCCGCCTGTGCCGTGGGGTGTGGCTGTCACCCCTTCCTGCTTCCATCTACCTGTGCAATGGGGTGTGGCTGTCACCCCTTCCTGCTCCCATCCGCCTGTGCTGTGGGGTGTGGCTGTCACCCCTTTCTGCTCCCATCCAGCTGTGCCATGGGTGTGGCACTTTCCCCAGGCCCCGCTCTTCTCTGCGGCGGTAGGTGGGGGTGCCACGTAGTGATAGAGAGAGTAGACTGAACTGCTGAAGGATTCCAGAGCACCTTGAAAGGAAGGAAAATACCCTCATCCCATGGCCTTTTCTGTGTGGACCTTCCTTGTCTTATCAGATAGGAGGGACTGCTCATTGTGTTAATCGATGGTGAAGGCTTAGAACAGTGCCTGGCACGTAGTAAGTGCTACGTAGGGGTTGTTTTATCCGTGGATCTCTCTTTGCCCCTTGCTAAAACAAACAAACAAACAAAACCAAACCCATTCCTGTTGAGTTGATTCCAACTCATAGTGACCCTTTAGGACAGAGTAGAGCTGCTCCATAGGGTTTCCAAGGAGCAGCTGGTAGTAACCTTTTGGTTAACAGCTGCAGCTCTTAACCGCTGTGCCACCAGGGCTCCAAAAAGTACAATGTGGAGATGCCAGGGAGTGAAGCTGGTGCCTCACACTACCACAGAGGAGGTCCCTTGAGCTTTTCTCTGTAAACCCAGCCAGGATTTCTGGCAGGTGCAGCCAAAGCCACAATGCACCTTTATGTGATTTTTCCCTGCTGTTAAGTACCTTTCACCCAGCCTCCTTCCTAACAACCCTGCCTGTTGGAAGGTATTTTCGTCTTTATTTTCTTTAACCTCTGGTGTTTCTCTGGGCGGAAGCCAAGTGGCTGCTGAAGGGAGGGCCTTACCTGACCCTGATGTCCTTCAGAGAAATTTCTGGTCCAGCAGAGGGCCCGGGCACCGGACATCACCCCAGCGGACCCTCAGCCTGGGAACCTGGCCCATGCAGTCCTGCCTTCCAGTTCCTTGACTGCACAGTCTCTGTTTGTGAGAGAAATGTCAGGTGCTTTCTTGGAACAGGTTGGTTCCCTCTTATAGTCCAGGAGGGAAGCCAGGCTCCTGTCAAGGGGTTTTGGGGGCCATAGAGCCAGTTCTGTGGCAGCTTTTCCTCCAGGACTTCCTTGCAGACAGCTTGGGCTGGGCGGGACCTGAGGCCCGTCAGAACCGGCCCAGCCCTGGCAGGAGAGGCCTGCTCTGTCCTGGGGGACAAGGAGCGGTTGGGGTGGGTGGAAAGGCCTGGTGACCCATGGTGACTGTGGGCCACCTCATGCTGTGGGAGGCAGTGAGCGCTCACAGTGTTGTCAGGAGGATGGGGTGCCAAGGCTGAGGCTGTTCCAGGAGTTGCTGTCCAGGCACCACCCTAAACCCGTTGCCGTGGAGTCCGTTCCAACTCATAGCAACCCTACAGGACAGCCTAGAACTGCCCCATATTATTTCTAAGGAGCGACTGGTAGATTCAAACTGCTGACCTTTTGTTTAGCAGCCAAGCTCTTAACCACTGTGCCACCAGGGCTCCCCAGGCACCACCGGTTCTGGGTAGAAGAAGAGCCAGCTGGGCCCTGCCCTTCCGTCTCATCAAGGTTCTCGGGGGCAGGTGGGGTGGGCAGGCAGGCAGCGTGTTGTCCTCCTCCAGCAGGTTGCCGAGGTCAGGTTGCCAGGCTCACCTGGGCCTGCTTCCCCCTGGACTGAGCCTGTCGGGCCTGCTTGCTGTCAGTCGGTGCCTCAGGCCGAGCACTGGGCGGCCCTTTTCAGAGTTCAGAGCCCACAGCGGAGCCTGAGAACTCCGTGCTGCCTGTTCTTTTCGGTGATTTGTTCAATGACAGTCCTTGCCGTAGGAGAGCCTGGGCTCTGCCTGCACCTGGAAGAGGCCAGAGAAGGGTGTGACAGAGCATCTGAGAGACGGGCAGCTGTGTGGTGTGTGTGGGGGGTCAGCAGGTTGCGGGGGCTGGGGGGTGGTCTCAGCGGAGGAGCTGATGGGCTGCGAGGAGGAGGGGCTGTGTGTTGCCCCATAAGGGCCACGCTGGGTCACCTTTGCACCGTCTGCCACTCTTAGAGGAGGTTTGTCTTTGGACTTGATCTGGGCAGAGAAAAATCTAGATACAGAGATTGTGGTGAAGGTCAGTACAGTTGGGAGGTTGAAGTTGTCTATTTTTCTGAATGGAATGGTGTGCTGGGCAGGGTGGAGGTGGGCAGGTGGGAGGGAGTTAATGTTTAATCAGGGACTCTGGCTCCCACTCTGTGCCCAGCGCCCTCCAGGAGTCAGAAAACAAAGCCACTCCGCCCAGTCCCCCCTCCAGTGTACCGGCCCCCAGACGGGCACCTCCACCCTAGTCCACCTCAGGGCCGTTTCCAGATAACTGTAGCGTCTTCCTGAGATTGCCAGAGCTTGGTTTATTCTGACCCTGTGCTATCCGACACAGTAGTCAGCAGCCACCTTGGGCTACTGAGCATTTGAAATGTGGCTCATCCAAAGTGAGATGTGCTGAAAGTGTAAAGTACACACCCTGGTGGCACAGTGGTTAGGCGCTCAGCTGCTGACCAGAAGGTCGGCAATTTGAACCCACCAGCCGCTCTGTGGGAGAAAGATGTGGCAGTCTGCTTCCATAAAGATTAGCTAAAACCCTTTGCCATCGAGTCAGTTTGATTCCGACTCATACTGACCCTATAGAACAGAGCAGAATTGTCCCATAGGGTTTCCAAGGAGCAGCTGGTAGAATCGAACCGCTGACCTTTTTGGTTAGGAGCTGAGCTCTTCACCACTGCACCACCAGGGCCCTTCTGTAAAGATTACAGCCTTGGAAACCCAATGGGCAGTTCTACTCTGTCCTGTCGGGTTGCTGTGAGTTGGAGTTGACTTGATGGCAATGGGGTGGGGAGATACCAAAAAAATGTAAAATAACTAATAAATTTTATATTGATTACACATTGAGATTATAGTATTTTAGATATATTGGATTAAATTATATTATTAAAGTTAGTTTCATCTGCTTTTTCCTTTTTTAACGTGGCTACTAGAAAATTTTAAATTCTGCCTGTGGCTCACAGTCTGTTTCTTTGGGACAGTGCTGTGCAGCCATCGTGAGCAGGACTAATGACATTAACAGAGGCTTTTGTCGAGTTACTGTGTGCTCAGCCTGTGGTGAGCACTTCACTTTCATTAAATTGTGTAATCCCCACAGCAGTCTGAGGCAGCTAGTGAAATGGGATTGCACAGTTGCCTAGTGGCGGGTAAAATGTGTTGGAAAAATATTTTTAAAAACTGAGTGATCGTCTTTTAAAATTTATTTTTCATTAATATTTTTCTGATTCATAAACGCAATGCATCATCAATCATTGCAGAAAATTTGGAAGATACATAGGCATGTGCGTAAGAAAGTAAAATCACCAGTAGCCCCCTCTACAGGTTTCCTTGCCCGTAAACAGGGTGCCTGCTGGGAGCCCTCCAGCTCCGGTGCTGCCCCAGGCGTGTGGGGCTGTCTGCTCATCCACATCACAGCACCCTGGGGGCTGTGCTCTCTAAGGCTTGACCTAGGGGGTTGTTGGTCCCCTTCCTGGGTTTTTGCTGTCCCTGGTGGCTGCAGCCTGCGTGCCCATCCACCAGTTCTTCACCTGCCTCTGCTAACGAGGTGCCTACCCAGGAGCAGCCAGCTTTGTGTGTACAGTAGAAGGGAGTCGGCGTGGGGGAGGCCTCTGGGCTCTCCTGCTTGGCCTTGGAGGCCCCTGTGGTCCTGGGCTCCTCTTGCCTCATCTCTGTCTTGACCCTCTTCTAGAGAGTTGAGATCATCAAATGACAGACTTCCGAACAGATGAGGTGTTCGTGCACTTTCGTTAGAAGATTGCAAAAGGGGAGGGCGGGCCTGTCCTCAGCCCACGGTCAGCGCCTGCCAGGTCCTTGGAGGGCAGCGGATAAGATGGGGTCTGTCACTCCCATGTGAAGCCTACAGCCTGGGCTCTGGCAGTCCCCATGGGTTTGGACTGGGGACACCTGATCTCTCGGCTTTTCCCAATATTCTGTTTGCCACCACCTCCTGCCACCTGCTGTGCAGTGCCTGTCCTTCCAGTCAGAGTGAGCTAAACCAGAGAGTTCTAGAGCACTGGAGGTCTTTGTACAGGCTTTGAAGTGGGCAGCCCCATTCCAAGGTTGGAGCCCCATGTGATGAGTGTCAGGATGTCCTAGGCCCACAGACCATCTGTCCCTGCTCCATCTTTCCAGTTGTGCCGGATCCTGCCCAATGAGTTTCCCAGCTGTGTGTTATTTGGGGGACATGTTTTTGTGACCCGTGAGTCTAGAGATGAGCAAAAGTGATGGTGGGAATGGAGGAAGAGTTTTCACAGGAAGTGCCTGCCTTCAGCCAGTTGTTCTCTTAAAGCAACAATATGTATTTTCCCACCTTTTCTTTCATTTTCAAATGCCTTGGAGTGTTCGCCAGGGCTCCCTGGTGGGTGGAAGTGGGTGTCTTGTGTGGTGGTGGCCGGCAGCCTGCTGCCCAGTGCCGACCACCTGTGTCAACCTCCCTACAGGTCTGGCTGTGGGTCTGGGCTTTGGGGCGCTGGCCGAAGTCGCCAAGAAGAGCCTTCGCCCTGATGAGCACACAGGTGAGCGGGGCTCCTGACTGGGGGGCGGGTGCCCTGGGAGAGGGGTGACCCTGTCAGCCCTCACCCCTCCTTGTCAGGGAGTGTCGGCATGACACTGTCCCATGTCAGCGGTGCCCCTGGATGTGTGGCACATCACAGGACAGGCAGGATTTACCCAGAGTCTACGATTAAGCCCTCGGCTGCTAACTGAAAGGTTAGAGGTTCAAGCCCACTCAGAAGCACCTGGGAAGAAAGGCCTGGTGACCTACTTCTGAGAAATAAGCCATTGAAAACTATGGAGCTTGGTTCTTCTCTGACACACACTGGGTCACCATGAGTTGGAGTTGACTCAGTGGCAACTCTTTGGAGTGGAGTGTGTGATGGCTTGAAGGTCTCCCCTCCTGGCCCATGTGCTCACCCGAGCCCTGTCTGGCCCGCACAGCTACGTTCCTTAGCTTCAAGCTGAGGTGTGGCCCCTGCACTCACTTTCTGCACTGGCCCTGCTTCTGGGGAGCTCTCGGGGCCTCGCTGGTCTGGCTGGGCCAGTGCTGGGCCCTCATTTGGCTGCGGTGAGGGGCGCCCAGGCCCCCATTTGGCTGTGGTGAGGGGTGTAGCAGGCTGGGGGCAGGGAGGCGTGCTGCTTGGGACAGACCTGAAGGGCCCCCTGTGCACCCACTTGGTGATGGGGGAGGCCCGTGCCCTTTCCAGGCCTCAGACTCTTCATCTCTGAAGTGAAGATAACTGTCCTCTGCCTCCCAGGCTGAGGGTGGTGATCCCTGCTGGTCCAGGTGGCCCGCTGGGGGCCAGTGCTCTTGTGGAGAATGGCACAGGGATTTGGGGTGTTTGTCATGCTATGATGACAAGTATTGGAGCAGTGGTGGCCGTCCCCCCTGGCTCCTCCTGCCTGTGAGGGCCCAGTGTGGGCCCTCGTGTAGGCCTCTCTCCTCTAGACCTCCCCAAACATGAGGGTGGGCGTGGGTGGTGTGAAGACTGCATGGGAGACCCTCCGCCAGCCCTCTCCGGGGTGAGGGTGGGCGTGGGTGGTGTGAAGACCACCCAGGAGAGGTTCCCCTTTATCAGGGGCCTGGGGCTGCTGAGAGAAGGGCTGGTCTAGCCTCTGCCCTGTGGACTTCCCACCATGCGGGTGAAGTTGTGGGGGGGGGGGCCCTGCCCCCGGCCCGTTCAGGGGACTTGGGCTCATTCTGATATCTCACACTTGCCGCCCGTACCCTGGGGGTTTCTCCCATAAGCAGGACCTGTCCTGCCTGCACTCACCCCCCTAGATGGCCCCTCCTCCCTCACGAGACCTCCTATGGGGACCCTCTTGACATAGAGGGCACTGGCCACCCCACAGGGCCTGAGGAGCGGGGGGTGAAGCGTCACGCATGTCCTTGAAGGAGGCTGGAGGGCCAGGGAGGTTTTAGCGGGGTTATTTTTAGTGGGTGCTGAGACACTTGGAAATGATGCCATTGTTTCTGTGGAGCAAGCGGCCAGCCTGTCCCAGGCACAGCATCCTTGGCCTCTGGAGCTGGCTTCCCTCTATCCTACCTCCTCCAGGCAGGGAAGAGGTCAGCCTGACTCCAGGGTCACAGCTGGTGTCCTTTGTCAGGGACAGTGGAGACGACTGGGTCCCTGGGTGGAGGAGGTTGGGGTCAGGGGCCTTAGGCACTGTTAGCTCCGAGAGCAGGACCTGGGGATCGGCTGGCGTGGGCGGCCCCAGGCTGGGCTCCAGTTTCCTGACCAGGCTCTGGAGCCCCTTGGCCTGGAGGACGCTGTAGGGAGAAGCTGTCCTGAGTGGGGGCCTGCCCTCTGCACCCCTCACCATCCTGTCCCCCGGCCGTCCTCAGAACCAGCTGTGCTTGGTGCAGAGCACATGCCTCCAGCCCACAGGGATGGGCCAGCTTTGGGGAGGGGACCTAGGAAGCTAGAGTGGGCCGGACATTGTCCCCCGAGTCAGCCTTAGCCTGGGAGGGAAATCTCCCTTCTCTTAGCTTCCCTCCTTCTCCCTGCCTCTCCCAGGGACACAGGCCCAGGCCCCCAGCCCACAAGGGCCTCAGGGGCTGGCTGGGCAGAGGGGGCATTTTAAGGGTTGCCCTTCCTGGCTGGCCCTCTGCTGGGTTGGCCCTGCTCTTTTCCTGTGGAACTGAACACCCCACTCACCAGGCCCATTCTGCCCTCTGGGGTCCTTGGAGGAGCCTGACCCTTTCCCATGTATTTACCTTCACGTATTGGCCCGTGTCTTAGTCATCCAGTGCTGCTCTAACAGAAATACCACAGGCGGATGGCTTTAACAAAGAGATGTTTATTTCCTCACAGTAAAGGAGGCTAAAAGTCCAAATTCAGGGCGTCAACTCCAGGGGAAGGCTTTCTCTCTCTGTTGGCCTTCTGATCAACATTCTCATGGACTAGGAGCTTCTCCACGCAGGGACCCCGGGTCCAAAGGATGCGCTCTGCTCCCGGCACTGCTTTCTTGGTGGTATGAGGTCCCCCTGTCTCTCTGCTCACTTCTCTCTTTTATATCTCAAGAGATTGCCTCAAGACTGGATCCAATCTTGTAGACTGAGTCCTGCCTCACCAACATAACTGCCACCCATCCTCCCTCATTAACATCATAGAGGCAGGATTTACAGCATATGGGAAAATCACACAATACCGGGAATCATGGCCCAGCCAAATTCATACACACATTTTTTGGGGAACATAATTCAATCCATGACAGCATGTTCTCTCTAAGGTTTCTCTTCTGCAGACTGACCCTCCCCAGGGCCTTCAGTCCCTGCGTTCCCACAGCACCCCACTGCCCTCGTGCAGAGGCCCGCTGGATGGGACTCCTGGGGCAGAGGACAGCTGCCCTGCCTACTTTTCCAGAACACTGTTTACACCCATCTCCCCCACCGGAATGAGTCTTCATCATCCCCAGCACTTAGGACCTGGCAGCGGCCAGCCTGTCCCAGGCATAGCATCCTTGGCCCCCGGAGCTGGCTTCCCTCCTCTATCCCATCTCCTGCAGGCAGGGAAGAAGTCAGCCTGACTCCAGGGTCACAGCTGGTGTCCTTTGTCAGGGGCAATGGTGACGACTGGGTGCCTGGGTGGAGGAGGTTGGGTGTCAGGGGCCTTAGGCACCATTAGCTCTGAGAGCAGGACCTGGGGCTCAGCTGGGGTGGGCGACTGGTGGAGGAAGACTCCAGAGGAGGCCTAGCCTAGTGCTTGGATGGGGAGGGAAAAGAGTTCCCTGGACTGGGCCTCACTGGGCTTGAAAAATAGCCTCCTTGGTCCACCGCCCTCTGTCCGCCCTCCCTTCCGCTTTGGCCCTGGGTGCCTGCTGTTGCTGCCCTGCCCTGCCAGCCTTGGGGGGTGCCCATAGTGGAGGCTGAGCTGGGCAGGGGCCGCTGGGCAGAGAGGGAGGGGGGCTGTGTGTTGTGCTTGACCCTGAGACCCCCCCACCCCGGGGATAGCACTCTCCCTGCAGCCGCTGACCCCAAGTGGCAAATGCGTAGTAACCCCAGGGGTGCAGGTGACCTTTGTCCAGTACCCTGGGGGGTGTGAGGTGATGACTTGGCAGTCCTCCTCACCTGGGGCGCCGTGATTGGGTCCCTTCCGGCTCTCCGTGCCAGGGCCTGCCCCACTCCCACCAGCTGTGCCCCTCCCTCCCCCACCCCAGGCCCTGGGGGATGGATATGGAGGGAGAGGCCTGGGGCGGGGGTTGCAGGAGTAGGTTCCCTATGGCGGCTCACAGGTTCTTGCCCAGCTTTGGGAGAGGAGGAATTAAATTGGATGGCTAATCTACAGGCCCTTGGAGAAAGCAGAAGGTAGGGACCCCCTGACACAGTTACCACCCCGCTTCTCCAGACAGAGCACTGAAGCCCAGAGTGTGCCTAGGGCCCACAGCCAGCAGCAGGGGACCAGAGTTGGACCTGGGCCTCCTGATCTAGAGCTGGGTGCCTGTGGGTCCCTCCGTGGCATCCAGGCCATGGCCATTGGCCGTTGGGGAGCGGGGTGGTGCTGGGCTGAGGGGCATGAGAGCAGGTGGGTGTGGTGCAGCGGGATGGGCCTGGAGAGAGCCCTGTCTGTACGGGCAGCGGGCATCTGTCGGGACCACAGTGGGGGCGTTGGGCCAGGCGGGCACGGCCCCAACGGGCTTCCTGTGCCTCATCTCTTGCTCCTCCTCCACTGGGGCTGAGGAGGGTTGGGCTGGGAGAGGCCTCAGAGACCCCAGAGAGGGGAGGCGGTGGTGACCCATTTTGCCCACAGGGAAGAAGGCCGTGTTGGACTCCAGCCCCTTCCTGTCCGAGGCCAATGCCGAGCGCATTGTGAGGACGCTGTGCAAGGTCCGCGGGGCTGCGCTCAAGCTGGGCCAGATGCTGAGCATCCAGGGTGAGTGGGGGGTGTGGCTGCTCACAGCCGGATGGGGTACAGGGGCTGCTCACGGGGTGGGGGCAGGGCACAAGGCTGCTCAGGGGGGCGGGGCCTGGAGTACATAGGCTGCTGGCGGGGGCCCTTCCCAGGCAGCAGAGAGCGCTGTGGCCCTTGCCAGCTTCCAGGGCAGGGGGCAGTGGTGGAGAGCATGGGGCTTGGCTGGCCATGGGGTGGTGGGTTGAGGAGGGGTTGAGTCCCTGGGTGGTACAGATGGTTAACTGTGTTTGCCACCTAACTGAAAGGTTGGAGGTTTGAGTCCACCCAGAGTCTCCTCAGAAGAAAGGCCTGATGATCTACTTCCGAAAAACCAGCCATTGAAAACCCTGTGGTGCACAGTTCTACTCTGACCCACATGGGGGCGCCATGAGTTGGAACGACTCAATGGCAACTTTTTTTTATTTTTAGAGGGTCAGTTAAATATATGATAGAACTTCTGCTTACTGCTGCTGGTAACAGTGCTCTTTTAAAATATTCTAGAAAAATCTTTAATAACGTGGGAAGTGCTGCCTGAGAAAAGCAGGCTAAAATAGTCTCCATATAGTGTGAGTCTAGAGACGAAAAATCTGCACAGAGAAAGCACTAGAAAGGAAAATAGAACAGTAGTTCTCTCTAGGGGTCAGATTATGGGCAATTTCAATATTTTACTAAACTTTATTTTCTAAATGTATTATTATTTTTTTATAGTCTTAAGCTATACACGTTTCTTAAAAAAAAAAAAAAAAATCAACCTTCTTAGGTCATTGGGGTAGGGGAGATGGTTCAGAGCCCCAGCTGGGCTGTGTGGCCAGGGGCTGACCAGGAACCCACTTGTAAGACTCCCAATCAGAGGGCTTCCTAGTGTTGTCAGGGCTGCAGGGGCTATGGGAGAGGTGCTTGCTGGGCTGGTGGGGTGTCTGTCTCCCGGGTTTACCTGTGGGCTGCAGTCCCCAGGTGCACAGGCCCTTCGTCCACAGCATCAGTAGGGTGTTTGCTGGGTGGGAGGGAGGGAGCCGTGGCTAGGCTGCCATTTTGGCTTTGAGCTCATCACTTACTGTGTCTGCACCCCACTGCTCTCTGCACTGACTTTTCTTGGGCCTTCCAGATGATGCTTTCATCAACCCCCATCTGGCCAAGATCTTCGAGCGTGTGAGGCAGAGTGCTGACTTCATGCCGCTGAAGCAGATGATGGTGAGGCCGGCAGTGCATGGATACAGCATCGGCCTGCATTTTGGGTCCTTCTGCCCTACCCCTGGGTCTGAGCTCAGCTCCTCTCACCCCTACCCCTGGGTCTGAGCTCAGCTGCTCTCGCCCCTACCCCTGGGTCTGAGCTCAGCTTCTCTGGTGGGAGGTGGCCGAGTGGACTCTGGGCTGCTGCTCAGGGTGTCCCGGGTGCTGTGGCTAGGCTCATGTCCCCGGCCTCTCCCTCTAGAAAACCCTCAACAGTGACCTGGGCCCCAACTGGCGGGACAAGCTGGAGTACTTCGAGGAGCGGCCCTTCGCAGCCGCCTCCATCGGGCAGGTGCACCTGGCTCGCTTGAAGGGAGGCCGCGAGGTGGCCATGAAGATCCAGGTAGGCCGCCTCGGGGCGTGTGTGTGCACGCGTGTGCCTGAGCTCGTCCCCACAGGGCTGCGGGGGGCTGAGCCGGGCCTGCAGCGTGGTCCCTGTCACGCACGCTGCCAGGGCAGGCCCGGCCACGTTTTCTTCCTGTCCCAGGGCCTGTCGGCAGTGGCTGCTCAAGGAGCATTTGCTGAATGAGTGACTGGGAGGTAGAATGGCCTCCCAGCAAACGTGGTTTGGGTTCGGTGAGGATGGGGACGTTTTGGGCCTGAGCTGGGGGCGCTCGGGCCCTGAGTTGGGCTGCTGTTGCTGGGGGCGGGCCTCCGTGAAGCCTCTGCCATCCTGCGTTTCCAGTCAGAGGCGAGAGAGGGAGGACGGACCAGATTGTTCTCTGCTTCTTCCTTCCACTCTGGGCTGGCATCAGCCACCCTGTTTCTTCTAATGTGGAGTTGGGAGGTGGGATGTGGGAGGTGGAGGATAAGGTTGTGATGGGGCCTGGGGTCACAGCAGCCTTGGAGCTTAGCTGCTGATTCATCCAAGATGTGGCGTCATGGGACACAGTTGGGAAGCTGACAGACAGTGGGGAGTGGGGTCCCCAGGAGGGCCCTGCCTGTCCCCCTGGGGTCACCCCCTTGCCTCCCGCAGTACCCCGGCGTGGCCCAGAGCATCAGCAGTGACGTCAACAACCTCATGGCTGTGCTGAACATGAGCAACATGCTCCCGGAAGGTCTGGGCGGGTCAGGGGCATAGGCAGCAGCCTCTCGGGAGTGGGGTGGCATTTGGGATGGATCCCCGGGGGGTCAGGGGCATAGGCAGCAGCCTCTCGGGAGTGGTGGTGGCATTTAGGATGGACCCCCGGGGGGTCAGGGGCATAGGCAGCAGCCTCTCGGGAGTGGGGTGGCATTTAGGATGGACTCCCGGGGGGTCAGGGGCATAGGCAGTAGCCTCTTGGGAGTGGCGACAGCATTTGGGATGGACCCCCAGGGGGTTGGGGGCATAGGCAGCAGCCTCTCAGGAGTGGTGGCGGCATTTGGGATAGACCTCCCCAGGGGCTGGGCTCTGGGGGCCAGAGCTGGCCCCTTTGAGCCCTGAGCCCACCTTGACATCGTCGCCCTGGCCCAGGCCTGTTCCCTGAGCACCTGATTGACGTGCTGCGGCGGGAGCTGGCCCTCGAGTGTGACTACCAGAGAGAGGCTGCCTGTGCCAAGAAGTTCAGGTGCGGCTGCTTCTGGTGCCCCCGCCTGTGGCTCCCGTGGGTGCTCCACCCTGGCCTCCGGCAAGGAGGGTGAAGGTGCCCCCAGCTCTGAGGGCTGGGGCCTCCGTGCATGGCAGGGCCCCCCAAAGGCTGGGCTCGGCCCCTGGGGTGCTTGTGCATTGTCCCCGGGGTAGGGGTGGGGGTGGAGTTGTTGCTGTGGCCATGACCTCCTGCCCCCAACAGAGAGCTGCTGAAGGACCACCCCTTCTTCTACGTGCCCGAGATTGTGGACGAGCTCTGCAGCCCCCACGTGCTGACCACTGAGCTGGTGTCCGGCTTCCCTCTGGACCAGGCCGAGGGGCTGAGCCAGGAGATTCGCAACGAGGTGGGTCTGAGCTGGAGACAGTGTGGGGCGGGGACCAGGGTGGGAGCCTGCTGTGCTGGGGCCGCAGTGACCAGATGGGGCGTGGACGGAGTCACCCAGCCCTGGAAGATGAGCTAGGTGGCTACTTCCCCGCACCCAGGTGGTACCCTTGGAAACAGAACTCATGTTCTGGGTAGAAGTTGGGGGTGGGTGGAAGATGGGGAGGAAGCAGCAGTCGGGGACGGCTCTGCCCCAAACTCCTGGGGCACCAGACCGCCCCTGACGCAGGCCCCGCCCCACCCCAGATATGCTACAACATCCTGGTTCTTTGCCTGCGGGAGCTGTTCGAGTTCCATTTCATGCAGACAGACCCCAACTGGTCCAACTTCTTCTATGACCCTCAGCTGCACAAGGTGAGCCCCTGGGTGGCCCCTGTGCGGCTCTCCTGTCTAGGAGGCCCTGCAGCCCTGCCAGGCCGGCCCAGCCTCAGTGCCTCCCTGGGACAGGGATGCGAACCCCTCAGCCTGCTCCTCCTCCCTGGGAGAATCTGGGGGTCTCAGCTCGGCCCTGAGAAGACCATTTTCCCTCTGTCTGTCCACCCTCGCCTGCCCCACACCCCCGCCGGGACCACAGGGCCAACCTTCCCCTGATGTCTCCTCTTCCCCAGGTGGCCCTTCTTGACTTTGGGGCGACTCGGGAATATGACAGGTCCTTCACCGACCTCTACATCCAGGTAGTCGGGGCAGGGCTCTTGTCTGGGGCTGGACAGGGTGCTTGGGAGCTCGAGGGAGAGGGAGTGGCTGGAGCCCTGCCCTGTGTGCCCATCTGCACTGGTCCCCATGGTCTGGTGATGGTGGGCGAGGCCTGGCCTGGTGGGGTGCAGCCCTGGGGTGGTCTCCAGGCCTGGGTCTCCGGAAGGGAGAATGGAAGAGGGATGAAAGTGGGAGGCCTGTCATTGGCACTGGGGGAAGAGTGACGGGGTGCCTCCCTGGGGCCTGAGAGCCTTTCTTATGAGCTGCTCTCAGGTCCCCTGTACCTCTGCCTAGATCATCAGGGCCGCCGCTGACAGGGACCGGGAGACTGTGCTGAAGAAGTCCATAGAGATGAAATTCCTCACTGGGTACGAGATCAAGGTGAGTGGTGGCGGCCCCAGGGCTCCCATGGGCTCTGCCTACCAGGCGTGGCTGCCTGGGAGGGGGAAGCCTGGGGCAGGGCCAGGCTGCAGAGCCCACAGGAGGGGGCAGGTGACCTCTCTGTGATGTCTTCGGAGGGGTAGGCTGTGGCGGGACCTCAGGATATAAGCGGCAGCTCCCAAGGGGCACGGGGTGAAAGCCCAGGCAGCCTGTGTGCTCTGCTCCAGGTGTTCGGGACTGCAGGCTGGGCAGCTGAGCTGGGGGACGTGGTTTGATGCTGTGTGTTCTTACCCGAGGCCCCCTCTCACTCACCCCACTTCGGTTTGCCTTACTGGGCTTATCCAGGCTGAAGTTCAGGGCTTCGGTGAGGGCCGATGAGATGGGGAAACCCCAGTCCCCCTTTGATAAGGCCTCACTGGGGGTGAAGAGAGAGTTGGAAGAAATCTCAGCAGCCCTTCAGACAAGGGGGCATGGCTGTGCTCCTGTCAGCGGAGGCAGCACTTCCTCTCTGACAGTAGATAAACCAAAACCAAACCCATTGCCATTCAGTCGATTCCGACTCTAGTCTAATTCTAGGGAGCGGCTGGTGGATTTGAACTGCCAACCTTTTGGTTAGCAGCTGAGCTCTTAACCACTGTGGGTTAAATCTTGGATCTACCACCTAATAAGAGTGGGATTTTAGGCAAGTTAGTGTTTTTGAGCCTTGCGCTAATCATACCTACCAAGTGATCGATTGCTAACCTAAAGGTCAGCCGTTCAAAACCACTAGCGGCTCCACGGGACAAAGATGTGGGAGTCTGCTTCCGTACAGATTTCTAGCCTTGGAAACCCTATGGGTCGCTAAAACAAACACGAAAACAAACCCCTTGTCGTTGATTCTGACTCATAATCATATGACTCGTAGTGTCCCTGTAGGACAGAATAGAACTGCCCCATAGGGTTTCTAAGGAGCAGCTAGCTGGTGGATTCGAACTGCCAACCTTTTGGTTAGCAGCCACTGCGCCACCAGGGCTCCAGTGGGCTTGCTGTGAGTTGAAATTGACTCGATGGCGGTGGGTTTGGTTTTGGTTTTCCAGAGCCTGCAGTACACAGTAGCTCGCTACTTCCTTGGCCACTGTCTCAGGGAAGCCTGACTTCCTGTCCGGTCCTCACTCCATCCCCACCACCCTGGCAGTCCACGTGGCTTTGCCACTCTTCCCTGGCGTCCTGATGGTGTGGCAGTTACATACTTCTCCTGTTCCCCCACTAGGCTGCAAGTTCCCTACAGGCAGACACTCGGTCTCCACGTGGCACTGAGCCCTGCACCCAGCAGATGGCTGCTAACCATGTCCTGGGTGGTTCTGGCAGGCTCACAGACCATGGCTGGCCCACCTGCCACCTGGGACCCGGAGACTCTCTTCTTTTCAGCCTGAACAGTGTTTTTTTAAAAAATTTTGAGTCCCTTTAGGCAAGGCTTGCACTCTGCACTTTGCACTCCCTTATGTCCCACGTCAAGCCCAGTTGACACACTACTGTTGTTTTCCTGGCCCCTATGGGTCACCAGGAGTCAGAACAGACTCGTTGGCAACAGGTTTGGTTTCTTTTTGGTTTATGGGTCGCCAAGAGTCAGGATGGACTCCACTGGCAATTAACAACAACAACAACACGGATTTGAACTTTCGCTCCCATTACCATTCTTTAATCTTTTAAAACAACAGAAAAACCCTAAAAACAAAATTCTCACGTGCCTGACACTTTTAACTTCAAAACAGAGCTTTCAGTGGGCACTTAGGATGCAGCACTGAAGCAGGAGCCCAGGGCGGTGGGGAGGGCTCTTACACCCTGTCGTCACCATCCCCCCACCAGGCCATGGAAGATGCCCACTTGGATGCCATCCTCATCCTGGGGGAGGCTTTCGCCTCAGAAGAGCCCTTTGATTTTGGCACCCAGAGCACCACCGAGAAAATCCACAACCTGATTCCCATCATGCTGAAGCACCGCCTCGTCCCTCCGCCCGAGGAGACTTACTCCCTGCACCGCAAGATGGGGGGCTCTTTCCTCATCTGCTCCAAGCTGAAGGCCCGGTTCACCTGTAAAGCCATGTTCGAGGAGGCCTACAGCAACTACTGCAAGAACCAGGCCGCGGGGCAGTAGCCCTGGGCCGCCACCTGGCCCCTGGTCACCGCCCAGGCCGGCCGTCGAGGCGCGCCGTCCGTCACGCGGGCGGAACAGTGGTGGGAAGATGGCGGTGTTGATGCGCCTTGAAACTCCTTTGCCCAGTGAGAGGGGGAGGAGAGGTTGCTGGGAGCCCCCATAGCCAGCACTTTCACACGGTTTTTATTGCTCAAAGGGTGTGGCATGAGGAGTCCAAGAACGAGAATGAAACCCCAACTTCTCTTGTCGAAATGTAGGCAGTCTCCAGGTTACAGACGTCTGACCGTACTTCTAGATGGAAAAAGGCTCTTTTCTTTTCTTTTTTGTAATGGGTTTTTCTAATGTGAATGTTAACCAGGAGATGAGAGAACACTCCCCTCTAATCCCCCACCAAAAAAAAAAAAAGCCTTTTTGGATGTTCTTGATTGTGTAGTGTCAGGATTGTGCATAAATGTTTCCAGAATGAGATTTGTGTTTTCTGCCCTTCTCCTTCCCAGCTTGTGATCTGAAGCTGGGAGGAAGTGCTGCCCTAAACAGTGCCAAAAAGTGCCACTTAACTGAGGGAAGGCCGGCCTGCTAGTTAGCTCATCATTATACTCCCCGGACAACTGAATGTGACTGGCAGACTGCTGCCCACGCGGAAAGGGTCAGGAGCTCCGTCTTCTCTGCCCCTCCGGGAGCCAGGGGCCTTCGCTGGAAGATGTCACCCTGTCGTACCTGAAGGGTAATCAGAGAAGGCTCTGCTAACTCTTGTACTTGTCTGATTTACTTGTTTCAATTAAAAAAAAAAAAAAGTGCTTTGTTGATTGTACCATTTTCTGTGTCCTTTACCTAAGAATTTTAGAGAACGGTGAAGACCCACACATTCGGACATCGTGGTGGCGTCCGTTCTTTACTCAGAGTAAAGGTTCTCTGATCCCATGGTGATGAGAGCCTGAGGGGTCAGTATCACAGATGGGTTAGCCACCCACACTCATCATAAGAGAGGGTGTGGGGGGCGCAGGGGAACCAAGGAGGGGATGGGAGGACATAGCTGAACCCCATCACCCCGTGCCCCAGCAGCACACATGCCAAGCAACAGCTGCTGAAGGAGCTTCACAATGGGTTGCTGGGAATTGTGGGAAAACACACATCTAGTGTCAGGCCAGTGAAATCCACTTGGCGACTGTCTGCAGTTGAACACTTTCTGAAAAGTGCCTTTTTCTGGACAGTAACGATCCTTAGGTAACAGGGCATTTTGAACATTCACTGGGGTCCTCCCAACAGACTGTGAACACCTTGAAAATGAAACCAGTTGCCATGGAGTTGACTGACCCATGGTGACCCTATGTGTGTCAGAGTAGAATTGCCCGATAGGGTTTTCAATGGTTGTGATCTTTTTGGAAGTAGATCACCAGACCTTTCTTCTGAGGCACCTCTGGGTGGACTTGAACCTTCAACCTTTTGTTTAGCAGCCAAGCACATTAACCATTTGAACCACCTGGGGCCTCCAAGAAGCTGCTACGTAGGTGAGGAAATAACCTTCGCAAAGACGGTACTGTTCCAGAATAGGTTCTCATGTAGGTTTCAAGGGTTCTTAAAAGAATCTACCCCTAAAGTAACAGACATGCTGGGCTCCAGGTCAGGATGAAGGGGGCTGAGTAGTCACTGTGAGGGCTGCTCCTGGGGGCCCGACGGCTCCCGCTGCAAGCAGCCCAGTCGTACTGGTGTCTCAGCATCATGGCAGACCACAGCACAGAGCTTCGCGGCCCTGTTAGAGGCGATGGGCTGTTCTTTAGCAGATGCTTTCTCCTGGGCCCAGCTCTGGAGCTGCCCTTCAGGATAACCATGACAGGAGGCGCCGAGTCAGGCCAGCCCCAGCCCGTGCTCTCAGCCTATTCCCCTCAAACAACCCAACATACCAAGCTGCAGCATGAAGGTGAAGGGAGGCAGGAAATAAAGCACAGGGAATAAGTATTTGCTTCTCCAAGAACCACTGGCTGACTGCTTGGAATGGGGCTTTGCGTGTCCTAAGTCTAAAAGGTGGCTGAAAACTAGAAGCCTCCTTGTTAAGACCATGCAGATCCCCAGATTTAAATGATTCTGACCCTGGAGTCACATGTCTACTCTGCAACTGGCCACACATACTTTGACTTACTTAGGCACGTGTTCTTGACTTCTGTGGGATCCTGCGGCTGAATGACTAGAACCCTGTACCTCCCCATTCACGCAGGAAAGTAAGACATGACAATGTGTGGAAATGTGATCCACCAGAGCTGTCTTGTAGCCCCCACAGCTGGCAAAGGGCTGGACGTGTAGCATGAACAAAAGGATATTTTCTGTACGTTTTGATGGTTGATGATGACAGCAAGCACTAAGCCATGGACTCGACATTATTCTAAGTACTTTTAGGTATTAACTTATTTGACACTCATTTTATAGATGAGGTAAATGGTGGAGCCAGGATTTGGAACAAGATAGTCTGGCCTTACAGTCCACGCTCAGTCTAGTCTAAACCAAGGACTGGAAAACTACAGCCCACAGGCCAAATCTGCTGCTTGTTCTTGTAAATAAAGTTTTATTGGAGCACCACTATACCATTCATTTACATTTTGTGTCTGGCTGCTTCCATGCTACGGTGGCTGAGCTGAGTAGCTGAGACAGACTGTACGGCCCACAAGCTGAAAATACCTGGCCCTTTATAGGAAAAGTTTGCCAAACCCTGTTGTAAACCACTGCCCAACCGCTGCCTCTCAAGCATGGCATTTATTATAATTAAACAACATATCAATAAGTCGGAAATGTAATTTAAATGTGCAGTGAGAAGGGGGAGGGTTCTCGATAGAGTAATTATTTAGCTGCAGCCACAGTTAGGATTTCCCTGACTTACTTCGTGTGTGTCCTTGGATAAGCCATTTTTACTCAGACCTGAAGCAGTAACGTTACCTCTGTTAGAAGTGTCTAGTGAACCTCTGCAATAAGCAGAATCACATGGCTGCCACGTACGTACTGTCTGATGTGACAGATGTGGTGCTGAAATCTGGCTGTGGAGAGGGGTCCTCTCTGCAGCAGGTCCCCTGTTGGCAACTGCCCACAGCAGGGCCATTCAGCGAACTTTAAGAGTCGGTTTTGCAGCCTGGTAAGAGTAATAGGGATGTTTTGACCAGAAGAGGAGCGCCAAAAGCTTCCAGAGAATTTAACACTGCTCTTCAGGAGCTATGGAAGGAACGAAGTCCTAGATGAAAGCACACTGGGCCAACTAGGCCTCGTCCTTCCTTAGCACCAGGAAGAAGGCTGGGTGGGGAGGGAGGGGCCAGCAGCAAGCAGGATCAAAACAAGACATGGAGGGCGAGTCATCTTTTCTCCATCCCTCAGACTCCTTAAACGGGGGGACAAACGACGAAATACTCAATTCTAACAGTTCCCTGTTTTATTGCAGTACATCAAAGTCTGGTTAATATTAAGTGATAGCAACATAAAATATTGGTGAGGAGTCTTGTTACGTTTTTGACTATCCCACCTTAAATATTTCTGTGCAAAAGAATCCACAACATTGTTTGGTAGCAGATAATCTCTTATAAAGTCCCGAAGACATTGAGGGCGTAAAACCAAACGAAATAAAGAGTGGTAAGAGGCCAAGGCAGTATCTTTCCCCCTTCCGTACACACATTTGTCAGCATTATATTCTAAACAAAAAAATGATTACATCTAGGCCATGCAAAACTGTACAAGAATATTACAATGAGAAAAAACCCTAAAAAATTTATAAAATAAATGATATTAAACTATCAAATGAAAGGCAGGTTATTTTGTTTCCATGAAATTTCAAGGTTGATCTGTTTTTGTCAGCTTTCCCCGGTAACTGAGATGGTGGTGGTTGGAAGGCAGAGCCCGGCCTGCTGGCCCCGTGCCGGGTGGGACAGGTCTCCAGCTGCAGCAAGGCCCCACTGATGGAGCCGCCTGCACAGAGAACTCTGGATTTGGGAGTAATTAAAGTCGTCACAAGGAGAGAGGCTCTAAAATGGGCTCAACTAGACGTCAATCGGTTTATTTAATTCAGGGACTGGGGCTGGGGCCGGGTGGGGGAGCGAGGGCCCAGCTCCCCCTTGTGCCCAGTACCTGGGGCTTCGCCAGCCTGACCCACAGCCGCGGCATCAGAGAACCCAGGCTGCTCGCCCTGCCCAGCTGGGAAAGTCTGCCCGCCCGAGCCCTGGCCTGGACGCCAGAGTCTGACTACCGCCGGGGGCTGCAAGCCGCCCTGCCGCATCAGGGATGGGGATGCCGGCCGCGCTCTGGCTTTTCTTTAGTGATACCTGAGATGCCACATAAACACAACTGGTCTTTCTCGGAAACAGATGTGGCCACTAAGTAACAAAGTGCCATGTTTTTAACCATATGGAAGGCAGAGAGGCTGGGAGCCAGCTGGAGAAGGGCAGATTGCTGCTGTAAACATGACAGGCGTTTCAGATTCTTCTGACACTTGAGTACAAGAATTGCTTGGGGAACCAAATAGATGGGCCTTTTCAGTTGTAGCTTACAGACAAAGCTGTGCTCTGTGGGAAAGAGCATCAATCACTACGGCTAGGTCAATTTTGTTTTAAATAAAGTAAAATCTGCTTTAGCAATCATTTGATAAGGAGGAAGGCTTCTGGTTTTGGCAAAAAGAATATATGTGTGTGCGTGTGTGTGTGTAAAATTTTATACACCCAGAACACATGACAAGATTAGTCAGAATTCAAGGGTAGACAACAACTTGGCTGGACCCAGATAGCACCAAATACCACCACATACATATAAACTACACCGGAAATGCCTCTGAATTTATCTTTCCTTTCTAGTGAGAACAGAAATGAGTTCCTGCTGCCCTATACATTTTAAAATGCCCTGCACGGAAACAAAGGATGACTTCAGACAGCACTATAATACCTTTTCCGTGATCTCTGTCACTGATCCCTTTGAATGATCAGTGTTTTCTTGGACCTATTCCCTATCTTTCAAGATATTCTCAGAAACTTCTGAAGGAAACAGGGTGATGGGATAAGCCTAGTAGGACAATCATTATCTTGGGAAAATCCCCACCCACCCCCAAAAAAACTATGACCCCTGGCAGTGTTTCTACCCTAAAGACTTGCTTTTAGACTCTAAACATATTTGGGGCTGACTGATTATGAGTGACGAGACCACTTAAGATCACTGTGGGAAAGTCAAATATTGCTGTGGTGCGTCTGCGTCTGCGGGTTAATGGTAGCAAGCTGCCCCTCTGCCTGGCAGCTGACAAGCCTTCATAGCTCTCTCATCCTCCCTGTTGGGGAGCTAAGGAGCATTACTCATTATAGTGGAACCCAGACTTTGGGCAGGGTTACATTTTGATCCTTAAAGCATTCTTTAAAAAATAAGCACCTACAGGCAACAAAAATTCACAATTAGTTGTCAAGGCTATACATGATTTCAGAGGAAAAAAAAACTAAAGGTTTCGTGTAGGATCCAGGGAACCTGAGCCTGGGCTCTGCTTCCTCTCTGCCCGGGAAGAGAAGGGAGAGGAAAAGGCGGAGGGAAAGAAGGAAGGCAGGGAAGGGGAGGAGAGGAGGAGGGGGCTGGTTACAAGCCCTCAGCAATGGCGGGCTGACTCCCTTCTCTCCTTCAAGGGGATGAGTTCATGGAGTTACCAGTGTCATATGCCAACAGCCAAACTCAAGGTCCAACACTTGGTGTTTGGATGTACAAAAGTATCTTTACGTGACACTTCTTTTCACAGCAGAACTATCTGGGAGATTACAATGTGCAGTGAATTATGCCATCACCAACTAAAATATTATCACATTGGAGCAAGGACTGAATCCAGAATGTTTGTGTGTCAGAACGATTATTTTTAAGTTCCTTATGTTGAGCTTTTACAACATAACCCCCAACGAGAGCCTCTCTCCCTCAATGAACCTCACGGTGAGTTCGAGGCTCACTCAGCGGGTTGTGGGAAGGCAGCTTGGGCTAATGAAGAGGATGCAGTGCTCAGGTATCGGTGGGGAAATGATCCTGCTCAGACACTGCAATCTTGTTAGCAACTGCGGAAAGCCTTTCTTCCATTTTGCTGATTTTAACGAAGGGAGGAGAAAACCCTGTTTCTGTTGTTCTCAGAGAAACTTAGGTGAAAAGTGAGAGAGAGGCAGATTCTCTTTACTCTCAGAGGATATTTTTATTTTTATCCCCTTCTCTACTCATGTACTTAACTGACTCTGAAATGACTCTGGAGAAATAAGTCTGGTTCTGTGTCTCATTTCCTTGTGGCAATTAAAACAGCAGGAACCCAAATAGAACTGTACCTAACCAACGATACTGCTACTGACGGAGGAGGCCAACGATGGGCTAGCTTTCTGCCTGAGACATCTCTCTGTCAGACATCCATCTTCCACTGGGAGTGGCAAAGAATACTTGGTTACGGCTATTCAAGTCCTACACGTTTGAGGTTTTATATTCTTTGGTGATTAAAGCCTTTTTCCCTCAGGTGTATCTGAGGAAACTCACGTTGTTGTTAGCTGCCCTCAAGTCGATTCTGACTCATGGGTGCAGGGTAAACTGTGCTCCATGGGGTTTTCTAGGCTGTGACCTTTGGGAAGCAGACCGCCAGGCCTGTCTTCCAAGGCACCTCTCGGTGGGTTCGGAACGCCAACCTTTTGGCTAGTAGTCAAGTGCTTGACCATCTACACCATCCAGGGACTCGAACCCACCTCAATGAAACGGACCCTCCTGAAGAAGCTGTCTCCAGCTCCACGGCGCAGAAGCCTCGCTATGATTTAGGGAGGGACGGCATTATCTCAGGAGAAAGCACTTCCATAAACCTTTTTATGGACCTTTAGAAGTCATGGCACTCCCTGTGCCCTTTCAGACCAAAGGGATTAGAAGGTGGCAGAATCATACTTCTACATTCATTTGCACAAAACATTAAAATATAATAAAAAGTGAAAAGCATGGTTCCAAAGTCTACCACTAGAAAAATGTCATGGGTAGAGGTGAGTCTGCCTTTTGATGCTGCTGCTGCAGTGGCTTTGGATGTTAAAACTCAGATGCACGGGTTGCCCTCCAAACCAATGAAATGGGAATCCAGAATGTTGGTTCCACTGTGCAAGCAGTCTGAGGACATGGACCCAGGGGAACTCTGGCTTCTCTCACTCACCCTCCACACCTGAGGCCTTTCTACCCTTTACATGACTTTGCTGGAAAACAGACAAGAAACAACACATTGCTTTAAATTAGACCATCTCTTTCTCTAATATATGCATCCGTCTTCTGTTGAATACAAGATGCTTCTTTTAATATATACACTCAGTATTTAACTTCTAAATTTGTGTATTTACTTAAACTCTGTATTGTAGTAAAATATGCACTGTTTCATTACTAAGGATTTACTGGCGACAATCAGGTGGACACTGACTCATGGTGCTGAATGGCGGCTTAGTGTGCCACCTCCAGGTCTGTGCTCCCCTGCGGACGGGGGTATCCCATGTGCTATCTTAGCGCTACAGTGAGACTCTACTGTGAAAACAAACCGGTCTAATTCATTCTTATCTCTTACTTGTGTGTGATCTGTCTAGTTAAGCTACCTTTTGGGGGAGGGGGTGAGATATTATTGAAAAGCAACTACAACCGTATGGCATGAACTCGGGAGTCGTCTAAGCTGCCTAATGGAAGTCTGCCTTTGCTGTTGGGGCTGTGGAACCTGGAGGGCATGCGGCTGCACGTCGTGTGGTCAGAATCCCCGAGTCCCCACCCTGCTGCTGCTGCCAGCCCTGGTGATTTTCAGGCAGAGGTGAAGGGGAGAGATGAAAGTGAGGAGGAGTGAGTGGAGGGGAGCTACAGGAGAAACTCCTCTGGCATCCTGGGCTCTGAGTGCGGGCCACTCACGGGTCCCAGCTCCCACGGTCAGTGCTCTCCAGAGACAGGCTCTTGGTTTTCCTGGGTGACACTGGGCTGGGAGGGCTGCTCAGGTTGGAGCTGTTGGAAGCTGTGGAATGCCTTGGAGAATCAGAGTCCTGTAGGGACAAGTCAGCCATTAATGAGAAGCAGAGGGAGGAGGAGGGGGGCAGGAGAGGCTCAGGCGACCTGAGTGCCCTCCAGCTGCCTGACCAAATGACCTGAGGTGGGTTTTTGACTATCATAGCAAGCTGCCTTTCTGAGCTGAGTAAGACACCAGAACCCAGCAAATGCTCACAGCCCTCTCTGCAGGCCTATAGGAATGCAGGCTACTTTCATGAAAAAGTTACTAGAAGTCTGAAAACCTCTGGGAAATTGCAGTTTGCAATCCAAGTGACTGGCTTTGCTGCCCACTGGCTACGAGTCCATGACGATCCCCCAAGGTCCATCTCAAGGTGGAATTACTCTGGTGAACACACTAGTCTGTTTAATACCTGATTTCGCCACACCCCCATCTCTAGGACAGCTGTGAACATGCTCCACTCACCTCCCCATCATAGTCCCTCGCCGGGGTATCGCTCCCTTGGTCCATGCCTCCGGAAGACAGCGAGCCCTCCGATGGGGAGGGCATGGGCTGCCGCTTGGCGCTGTAGCTTCCTCCAGAGAATTCCCTCTTTAATGCACTGCCATTCTGTGCAGATGACCCTACAGTACATCATTCAAGCAGAACTTGATACGTAGAAGAGGACGATCCTCTAGAAACTGTACAGACTGCTGAGGTGACAGCCGTCCTCCCCACTGCCCCAGAGTGATCCTCCCGGCTTAGAGTCCTGCGTGGACAACGGCTCCTGGGCATCCACCCCTCCACCTTGGCACCAAGGCGCAGCTCCGCAGTGCAGCCACAGCGACTACTGGGGGTGGGCGGCACTCACTGAGCCTCGCCTTTGTGCTCATAATGCCTGCTCACCACGATTCCCACTTAATCCTGCAAGTCTCCACCAACCCTCCTTCCTTAGTGAGTCTTTTCCCAGGAGACCCCTCGGGGCTCTCAGCCTTTCTCAGACATCTCTATCACAGCATTGAAGATGAGGGGCGGATCAACCACTAAGCAGGGTACATACAGGTTTACAGCAAGCAAGGGACTGCAAAGGTTTAATTGTGCGTACTTACTCATCTGTAGCGCACTATTTCACATGGGTTTCACCACAGTGTGGTGAAAAACAGGTGAAATTGTGCACTACAGATGAGTAAGTACGCACAAATAAACTCGTGTATACCTTGCCTACTGGGTCATCCGTCCCTGTTTAAGACACTCCCTGTGTTATAACATGTGCCTGCCATTTCCCTGTGGATGGACAGTCTGCCTCTCCAGGGCCAGCACAGGACCCGGCACATAGCAGGTGCTCAATGGTGACGCGGCACACAGCAGGTGCTCAATGGTGACCAGGCACACAGCAGGTGCTCAATGGTGCAGGTTGGTGAGGCAGGTAGAGTGAGTCCCAGAAATAAAGACCATTCCACTTGATGCCTAACTACCATCCGACTTTAGAGAATTTTCATAAAAAACAAAGGAAATATGAAGCATTTTCACTGCATAGGACAAGAAGCTTGAGCTACAAAAGTGAGGTGAGTTTCTTCAAAACCACACCCTGTTTGGATCTTAGATTTGGGTATATAAAAGCTAGGTTGAAAACCAAGAGTAACAGAAAAATGTTACTAGATTTGCTAGCTACTGGAATGTTCTATATCTGTTAAAATGTACAGTAAGAATTTTTGTTAAATCTGTAATAAAAATTTGCATGGGTCTGTAATAAGGGCCTTTTGGATTTTGTTTTGTTTTTTAGTTAAATTCCAAACCAAACCAAACTCATTGCTGTCAAGTCGCTTCCAACTCACAGTGACCCTGTAGGACAGAGTACAACTGCCCCATAGGGTTTTCAAGGAGCAGCTGGTGGATTTGAACTCCTGACCTTCTGGTTATCAGTCGAGCTCTTCACCACTGGGAAAAATCCCTAATGTGCCAGGTGTGTAATCACTGTTTTGCCAGATGTCATCTAAAGTCAACACTCTGTCCTAGTGTAAGAGAATGGGATTGCAGTTAGATGTTAGGGGCTTACTTTTGGAAAAAGAAGTTACTTTCTTTCCTAGAGGTTGGCTGATGGGAAGAACTGGTAATCTGAGGCTTGCTAAGGAAGTGGCTACAGGATCCCTATTCAAGTGAATGTGGTGGTACTCTCTGCAAAGGACTTTCACATCTGACCATCATATCAACTCTGTGAGGTAGATGTCATGGAGTTTTAAGGGTGAGAAAACTAAGATCTAGAAAAGCCCAGTAACTCAAGGATTCAACATCTATTATGTTTATCATTCTTTTATGGTTAAAGGGTATATTCCTGAACTGTTCCTGGCCTTCTCTCATTTAATCAAACGTGCTAATTTTTTTCCTACCGTGGGCCCTTTGTGCAGCCTGGAATGTCCTACCTCAGCCCCTCTCCAATCTTGGGAAATGGAACACATGGTATCACCCTACTGCTCCAGCAGGAAATCTCGTAGTGTCTTTAACTCTCCTCTCTCCCTCACCTTCCACACGAATCCATCGAGTCATATTGTTCTTACCTCCAAAACTTATCTCCAGAATCTATCTCCTTCTCTCCATCCTTTTCTCCTCCACCACTGCCATATTCTATGCCATTCTCAGCTCTCACCTGGACCCTCTCAGAGCCTCCCACCTGGACCCCTGCTTCCACTCGTGCTTGCCTCTAATTCATTCTCCATTTGGCAGCCAGAGTGATCTTAAGAATGTAAATCGAATAAAGGTCCTTCCCTGCTTAAAACTCTGCAAAGGCTTCCCACTGCATTCTGAATAAAATGAAGATTTCTTACCTTGGTCTCCCAGTCCCTGCCTGACCTGATCCTTGCCTATCTCACCCACTTTTTTTGTCTTCCCTCACCACTGCCATGCAGCCAACGCTGGTCTCTTTTCAGTTACTCAAGCATGACTCCAACTGAGGCGTGTCTCAGTGTAAGTATCACCTTTTAGGGAGGTGGTGTGATCTTTTTAATTATTCTAGGTATGAATTTATCCCCAACAGCTACCGCTTGTTATTCTCTAATACTACATCCTGCTTATTTCCTTCTGAGCATTTATCATCACGATTTGTAATATTATTTGTCTGTCTCCCGTCAGACTGTAAGTTCTATCGACTCCAGGCCTATTAACAACTGCACTCGTGCCGACTAGTCTCACCCATGCCAAAAGAGGCCACTCAATACCGTGGGACGCACACATGACTGTGCACACAAGGGGACTGTCAGGGCAAGGCCGCAGGGCCTTATGGGCATGTGGGCAGCAGAGATGCTGCTTGCCGCAGACGTGCCTCCCGCAGCCCGGCCACTTACTTGCTGACAGGCCGCTGCTAGCACTCATGGAGCGCCCTGGCTCAGGGCGGGACTTGGTGATAGATGGAATACTGACTGAGCCGCTGAACACGGCCCGACTTTCCTGAGGCCGAGGGTTCTAAAAGTAAAAGAGAAAGATAATGCTTCAGGCAGAGAGAAACTGGTTTTCTGCAGAGATGTCTATTTTTCAGTATAATTATCAAGAAATAGAATTATCTGGACCAAAGTGAAACAGAGCAAAGAACAACAAATCCCTCCCACAAAAGTAATACGACCCCAACAGGAAGTACAAGCATACGTATTTATCCTTATGTTTATTAAATACACTTATCAAATCCCATCAATACTTAAATACTCATCACTAAATAAGAATTTTTTCTTTTGCTGTGAGAACAGAAAGTAAAAGTTATATGGTTAGCAGTGATGGTAAAGTGTCGAATTCCATGGACATTTGCAGGTAAGTAAAACAAAGCTTTAACTATGTTTGAGATATTTATTTGCTTAGGATAACTCAATAGCTGAGTAAATTAGTCCATTTGGAAGAAAGCAGTTAAAACTATATTCTTCTCAAGTAAATGTTTTGTTGATGGGGTACCAAATGCACCATTCACATGTTCACGACCCCAGTCACCAGGCATCTTTACCAACTCACACAGAGTAGCAATGTGAGTCATGAATAGGATGTCTGCCACATTACAGCTGGGGTGAAGTTATTTAACTTGGGAGTACTGGTTTGGGAAGTTTTCCATCTCACTACTGAATGATTCTGGTCATCTGAGGTAGGTGACAGATGGAATACTGACTAAGCCACTGAACACAGCCCAACTTTCCTGAGGAGCGCGCTAAGAAGTGTGCAGACGAGCTGTCTGAGCGTGGCTGCGACAGAGGGCAGGCAGCCTCCTCAATGGCCCCGACCTTCCAGACCAGAAGGGGTGTCCAGGCTGACCAAATCCAGATTGGGGAAAAATCTTTCAATATTCCTTACACGTCCTGGCAAAACTACATATACCATATTACCATCTCTTCACAATGCTTTCTCCATTTGTGAGATAGTTCCAGTCTCATATAAGTATTCCCTGATGCAAATGGTCTGGATTTCTTATAATTTATAAACATTTATTTAGAAAATTTATCTACTCCTTATTAGTTTTTTCTTCATAGCAGTTTTACCAGCCCACCGTGCTGATATCTGGCAGCCCATCCCCTCCTTCGTTAGCAGATAGTAAAGGCAGCACATCTGTGCTCACGACTTACTAGCGTGTCTTTGGCTTGTGGGTTAACCCTGCACTGCCGAGTTCGTCTGTATTCTGGGAAGAATACCTACCTCGCGGGGCTTTCCTGAGGATGAAGTCTGTTGTAGTAATAGACACACAGCACTTACACCATCCCTGCTATGCGCTTTCTTTCCCTGCTCTAGTGATAACCCCATGCAGCAATCTGAAATGTCACTTTAAACCTTTCCTTTCAGTTACATCAAGATAGCAAATCTGCTAGGGGAAAAAATACAAATTTTACATGCATTAAGCAAGACGGTAATTCTATAATGACTATGCAATGAAAAAAATCACACATCAAAAAGTGGTCAAAAATTCAAGTTTTGTGACTCCTCCAAAGGCTCCATCTGCTCAGTAAAGCCAGCTAACCTGACTTAGAGAAGGACGTGCTACCTGCGTTTGAGGGCATGCTGTCTTCACACAGTGCGTAGGCTGACCTCACCACAGGATGGCATCACCTTTCCCACGCTCTCAGAGAGTCACACTGATGCTCATGGCCACCAACATATGATAAAACAACTGGCAAATATATTTATTAGCCTGGAGTTCTCTAAGCACTAACTAGTTCATTCAAATTGTTTGTTATTCTGATTATAAATGGAATGCTCACTAACTGTAAAATGGAAAACACCAAAATCATAAAAACCTGAAACCAAACCCGCTGCCATCGAGTTGATTCTGAATCATAGTGACTGACCCTACAGGACAGAGTAGAACTGCCCTATAGAGTTTCCAAGGAGCAGCTGGTGGATTCCAACTGCCAACCTTTTGGTTAGCAGCCAAGCTTTTAACCACTATGCCACCAGCGCTCCAAAAAGAGACCAAAAAAGAAAAAAAGAAAAAGAAAAAAGTCATCTGTGAATTCACCAGACACTATCAACAGTTTGATGTGTTGCCTGACCACCATTTCTCCCAACGCATTTGTTTTCCAGAGTTGACCATACTGTATCATGCTTTTTTTTCAAAGAGCACAGAACACAAAGCTAACGAGTGTATTTTAAAATGCTGTAATTGTCTGCCTTGTTTTACTGTTTCAAAAGCACTAAACCTTTTTTAATCACTGGGGGCTCAGGAAACAGTGCTCCATCTTCGGGTACTATTACAGCAGAGAGGACATCAGAGAGACGTAGCCACATGCTGGCCATACGCTGAAATTTACAGTGTTCCTTGACTTATATCATTCAACGTTAATATAAATCTCTTACCTGAACGCTTTATAAGTTTCAGCAAGAGAAAGGCCTAAATGTTTAAACTGTATACTACATATTTCACTGAAAGTCTTCATACCTGACGTTTAAACACAGAACATCAGGCGAACACTGTTGGCAGACACTCTTTTATCCGTATCACCACCCATAGGGACCTCAGCCTTTTGGGTGGCAGTCCCGTTTGCCCTGGTTATTTACTAAGCACATAGTTCATGACTGTTTCTGGCCTCATTCTTCATTCATTCAGTATTTCTCATACTGACTGCTGTTACGACAACACTAAGCTTCAGGACCTAAAATAAGGACTAACATGTAGTCGGTGCTAAAAAAATACTTGTTGAATAAATGAATGGATTATGTCTGTAATTACAATTTTCTACTTCAAGTGTTGGAATTTAGTTGGAAATATAATTTATGAATTCATGTAATTTTTTAATTTCAAATTATGCTCCTTTCTGTAGAACACACAGTGTTCTAGTTAATAATTGTTTGATATTAAAACTGCGTATGGGTGTGTGTATGTTTTAAAGATACAGAATACATTTCACTTGTATTGTTTGGGCAGAATAATATTATCTGGGAATACATGAGGAAACCGGTGGCAATTCTCCAAATAACCTGATGTATATGCTACCTCTTAACAGAAGATGACTGTCTCCTTTCCTATAATGTGTATACCAAAATCCGTTGCTGTCAAGTTGATTCCGACCCATAGCGACCCTACAGGCCACAGCAGAACTGCCCCACAGGGTTTCCAAGGAGTGGCTGGTGGATTCAAACTGCTGACATTTCAGTAAGCAGCCATATAGCTCTTAATCACTGCGCCACCAGGGCACGATAATATGGTATAGGTCAAATGATTTACAGAGTACAATAAAATGAGTACAAATGTTGGAGACTTCTGAGGTCACAAAAACCAAGCAATAAACCGATGTGTTCAACTGTAGCTAAACAGTATTTTGAGTTATAACAAAGTAAAAGTCTAGAACTGGGACCTCAGTTCCCAGGTGTCATGGAGTTGTGAGGTCCCTGGGGGAAGCTCTGAATCAGATTCATTTTGCAGTGCTGAGTGTTCCTAGGTGTGTATGAAACACCTGAGAGAAAGTTATGGCAAGACAGCTAATGGAGGCCAAAGCTAGCAATCAGGAAAACAAGCAATAACACTGCTGCAAAAACGTCAAATACTGAAGAACCACACAGCCTGAAAGTTGGCTGGCTGGCCTCAAATTCAGCCACTATCATTTTGGTGCATATATAAAGTTTGCAAATGTCCATGTAATTCTCAGTCTGTTATTTGTTTAAAGCAAATGATTTACCTTTCTTCCCCCTCTAAGAAAATAAAAAAATTTGAAAGTAAAAGTCAATGCTAGCAATTCAACATTCACGCATACAGGAGCAGCCCTGAAGGACACGGTGACATGCATACAAGGCAGCAAAGGAAAGCTCAAAAGAGGAGGGTCCATCATTTCAAGCTTGACATTTTTAGTTACTTTTCTTCTACGAAACTTTAGATACTTTAGTGTTGTCCTTTTCTATAAAACAAACTTACCCTAGAATAAATGACAAAAATTAGCCTATAAAATATATCATTTGCTTGGTAACAATGAATGTTAAGGCAAATAAAGGAATGATATACAGAAGAAATGTTCAAGGCAAAAAATCTAAAAAAAAAAAAAATCATTCATTCAGCTACTTTATACTTCATTACAAAGTGATATGGAACTTAAGCCTCTGGTCCTTCCCATGTACAAATACGTTCAAAATCAGAGTAAAAATCTCCACATTCAGTCCAGTGCTCCTATTTATACATGACTAACTTAAGCCTCTGGTCCTTCCCATGTACAAATACGCTCAAAATCAGGGTAAAAATCTCCACATTCAGTCCAGTGCTCCTATTTATACATGACTAACTTAAGTGACATTTCTATCATCTTTTATATGAAAAGTTCTTGACTGATTAATTTATGCAACACTTCTCTGAAATCCTCTCCCTGAAATCTGCTACCAAGCAAACGAAGGCTCGTTTTAACTTTTATCATGGTTAATCTTGTCAAATAAGACATTTATATGGCATTATAATATAATGTCAATACCAATGATATTAAAAACATTTTAGTTAGAATAATTTTTTTAAACAAACAAAAACATAAACTTCTCACCCTACAGATAAGTTTCTTATTGGAAAATTACTTCACTACTATATATACAAATGAAAAAATTGATGCTACTATTTCTCTAAGTCAGCGGATACTATGAGAAATGGATTGACATGATACAATTCCAGCATTTTATTATCTGAGCAATTCTCCCTTGAGGTTAGGATAAGCATATTTCTTAATGGGAATATGGCTTTTCAGCTTTAATGGTCACCAGCTCCCGTCCCATGGCACAGCTGAGTGAGAGGGCCATGAGGCTGGCGAAAGCGGTGGCAGCAGACGCCATGGTCCTTCAGCCTGCAGCACACTTTGATTTTTTTCTCTCTTTGATTTAGTTTTCTTATCTTGAGTCTCGGTATTAAAGGCATGTCAGCAGCTCAAAGATCAGTATACCTTCTTATAATTTTTCCTGTTACTAATTAATAGTATCATGGAGATTTCTGAAGCTTTTCATTGCAGATAGAAGATAGGTGGGTAGGC